CCTCCAACCTAATAGCGATGGCCTCCAACCTAATAGCGATGGCCTCCAACCTACTAGCGATGGCCTCCAACCTAGAAGCAATGGCCTCCAACCCAATAGCGATGGCCTCCAACCTAATAGCCATGGTCTCCAACCTTATGGCAATGGCCTCCGACCTAGCTGAAATGCAAGAGTGTTGATTTGGAGAAACTCGTCCTACCTTGCAATGACTGAATCAAAAGTGTGCAATCAAATCTAACGGACATCATACGCTCGCGCCACCAAGCAGCATCTGGGTCCGCGAAAACTGCCAACGGACCTGCCACGCCACCTGTGATCGCCAGCGTTGCAAAAGGCGCAGGCGCACAGGAAGATTCGTCTAATGAATGCAAGTAGACCAAAACATGAGTCACAGTGGTGGATGGAAGAAATCCGAAATGGATACAATATCTTGCCATTTGCGGGGGATCAGTGCAGCTTACCTGGTTTGGTGAAAAGTACTCACATAACTGTTGTCTCTCTCGCTCTCCCGATCTCTGTGTTGAACCAATCTGTTCATTGTCTGCACCACTGTTCTTTGGTGACACTATGTATATACCAGTCATTTTCGTCTCAATGCTTCACTCATCCAGGTGGACCCAGGTGGAAATCCTTTCATCAAGTTCTTTGCGCTGCACTGCGCTAACCTGACACCCCCCCTTGCCGAGCACCCGCCTGTGACCAGGAAATCCTCTGTGCTCTCGGCCTGAAGAGCAAAATTCCGGTTCAAAACGGGAAGCTGTACTGGGAGCTTTTAGGTTGGAGGCCTCTTACTGGGAGCTTTTGATAAGCCCCCTTGACTTGGGGTCAAAGGAGGTAACAGGTCGTCTGACATGCCATCTACAGAAAGAGTGATGAATGATTGTCTGCAAGAAAATGGACATTAGTCTTCAGATCTTTCCCAAATCTCAGCCCGTCCATCTGCTCGTGCTTGCCCAAGAATCCCTTGCTCGGTCGCTTCGGACGATTCTGGGCACCCCACCTCTCCCTTGCTCTGTAGCATCGCCAAGCCCACCAACGCCTGGCTGCGAACGGCTAGCGTGTGGCGCGCGCGAAGTTAAAATCCCACAACTGAGTGATTTCATGTGTTTTCGTGTGATTTGAGAGGAGGAAGCAGAGAAACATAATAGAGATAAACGAGAAATGTCCAACCAGACAATGCCAGGCACCCCAAAACGAAACTCCGATTGATCCCGACAGGCTCGGTCCAATGCACCCAATGAAGCGTGCACTGTCATTGCATGGCCTCTAATCTACTAGTAGCAATAGCGTCCCCTAGTAGCGTCCTTGCTCCTAGTAGCAATGCCCTTTGCTCCTAGTAGCTTCCTTGCTCCTAGTAGTAAGGCCAGGAGCCCCTAGTAGCGTCCTTGCTCCTACGCATGGAACCTAAAAGCAATGGCCTCCAACCTACCAGCGATGGCCGCAATGGGCAACGTTCACGTCATCCACGATCGACCTGTTCCTTGAATCGACCTCTGGCCCTGTTCTCGGTCGAGACTGATCTTACCAACCCAAATCAAAGACACAAACAGTGTGTAAGCTATGCTTGAATGGATTGAATAAGCTAACACGACGAGACCCAAAGCTATGCTTGAATGACTTGCGACCTGCAGCACGGCTGCAGCCAGCAGCATGAGGATGCCTTTGCCCCACCTGAAGAAGAATCGCAAACACGCTCGGACCGGCCAGCCATGGCCCCCCGACATATGTGGTTGGCAACATACGTAATTTGGACGTCTCCATTGCATGGCGTGGCAGGAAAGCAGTCCAGCATGGGTTGCCTCTGGTTTCCTTCATGATGAATTTATGAATCTTGTGGTGGTTGAAGCAGTTGGCTATCTAAATCCATCAAACTGGCTCTATAACCTTCGAAGCTCTAGATCGATTTCGAAGTTTGCCTTTGACTTTATCAGTTCCGATTCTTCGTGCAAGCAGGCTTGTCTCACCACTCTTAACCCGCCACCCGCCTGCGGCTAGATTCAGCCTGTGGCAGGATGGCTGGCATGCAATGATGTAGCTGTCGGGTGGTTGGCATCCTACCTGCTGGCCCTTTTGGGGGAATCGATTGTCAGCGTCCTTTCATTCACCTTCTTCGCATCATCCTGGTTCTTCGAAGCTGACAACAACTATTCAAGATCCAGTGTCCTCTACAGCTAAGCAAAAGAGGGGTCCCTCTGTCCGGCACCACTCCCCTCACTCATATTCCTACGACCAAGGATAGGGTATGGTTCAAATTCCGATCTTTTCGTGATGTACCCGCCGTTTGTGTCTGCTTATATCTACCTTCTATCCTTTCCCTGATAACGGTTGGCTGTGGTACGCACCACAGCAAAGCTAGTTTTGTGGAGACGCATCAAGAGCTCAACAAATGTCCCAGACTATACAGTAAATCATTACCAGTGGAGAGCACCTGCTGTACACACAAGCATGTAAAGTCTTATGAATCGGCTCAACACCCTTTTTGGTGTCGCCTATCGCTGGAAATCCTGGCGTCAACCTCTCCAACGTCAGATTTTAAAGGAGACGGGGCCAAAGCGGCGAAAGCGAAAGCACGGTCCACGTCCTCCACCCAGCCTGTCTGACCGGCGCTGGCGCCTCTTTGGTCTTCTTGCCCTCCGCATGGAGATTCGACTCTGAAGGGCAGCTGTGGCTGTACGATTCTGACAATCACATTCGACATGCTTTGCACTTCTGTTGAATTTGGGGATTGACCCTACCATCAGCCTGGCAGGATGAAGCTTGCACAGTTAATCCTGCTCACTCCTCGAACAGCAGAGACGAGAACTCTACGTTCCTGTACTACATAAACGATATGAGCGACAGTCAAAATTTGTTGTGGAGTTGGAGGTCATCAGGATTTGGTGAGTGTGTTATCGTTTATTGAGCAAAACATGTATTTTGAACTCCCATGACCACTCACCGACTTTCGTCACTTTCACTAATATTGAGCCTAGCTCATACATTATAGAGGCTAAAGAATCTGCAACGCTATCTGTATCAATGCCCGCAGGTCTCAATCTACTCTCCTTGAAAAGGCTCCAAGAGATCGTGCTCTCCTGCCTTCCGCTTCTCATCCTTTTTCTTCTCGCGTGCACGCTGGGTGCGGCCCACGTTCATGCATGAGCACGGTCGGGTCGGTCAGCTGAACTGCCCTCTGAATGGAAAGACTTCCGTCAACTGCTTAATGACCTCCAACCTAATAGCAAACTATAGTAGACCTTTCATGACCTTTCTTCCTTTTCTTTCTCTTTGTTTCTATCAGCGATGGCCTCCAACCTAAGAGCGATACTAGACTTTTTGAGAGCAAAGAAACATAGAGAAAGTGATCGCATCTAACTCCACCCTGCATGCTACAGAAAAAGCCTTGCTACCGCTGCACAGAGACCTATCATGTCCCTTTTGTGACTGCTTCGATTGGCCTCCAACCTCCTAGCGATGGCCTCCAACCTGAAAGAGATTCTGCGATAGACTCCCAGGTCGATCTAGTTTCATCCTCGTGGTCTGTCGTGTCATTCGTTCGATCAGACCACGATCTGTTTGAAGCTTGAATTCAGCGGTCATCGAGAATCACATTCCACACCGTGTATGGAGCGCGACGCGCACGGAGATAGACAAACAAAGCGTGAGGATCGCATGGGGAGATCTGTCCGAAAAGGCATTTGGAGTTCAATCTGAGAATCTGTTCGGGACTTTCCAAGGAAAAATCCCGCCTAGAAAGAGAAACAGAATACTCATAAAGCCCATGTCCGGCGGTTGGTTTGCTCTTTCAGAAAAAACTGCCAAATGGTGGAAGCTTTCGAAGCATCTGAAAAAAGATGGCCTGGAGAGCTTTAGTTCTGGATCCCCACATGGGTAGAAACTTGTGGCCGAGAGGGGGGTGGCGAAAGCTAGGCAAAGAAACAACGCTGGGGCTCTTTGGCAGGAAAAGCCTGGCCGGGAATCGCAACATGCCATGGCCAAGGGAAAAGGAGAGTGCCAACAGCGCCCCCCCCAATACGACCCCAACACTGCCAACACATGGCAACACACAACCACCCCAGCAACGGCAGCAGCAGCAGCAGCATCATCAGCAGCAGCCACCAAGCAGCAGCAGCTACCAAGCAGCAGCAGCTACCAAGCAGCAGCAGCAGCAGCAGAAGCAGCAGTAACAAGTGCCTTACTAGTAGTAACAAGTGCCTTACTAGTAGTAA